CTTAAAATTATTGAACTAACTTAGAAGAAAGACAGGCAGTGACAAACTATCATTTATCCATATGACAGTTACTGTGTGGCCTGGGTGCTACCTTAAAAGCAGACAGCTCCACACAAGAGCTGGACCCTCACTCATTTTTTAAATTTCAGCATACTGTGACATACAGCTGATTCTGATCACCCAGTTAAGCAGACTGTCTAGTTTTAACACCAAAACAACCCCAACAAAATGCACAAGTGGTAGCTTAAAAACATTTTTGAAAATAACAATATATAGAAGAGAAGGTAGAAAATAGAGAAACAAACAATTAAGAAAACAGCACTTCACCTTCTTCCTACATCATTCACATTACAGGGTTAAAAAAAAAAGATGTCATCTGATCTGACAAGTAGGCAAAAAAAAAAAAAAAAAAAAAACCACCAAGACCACCATTTGAAATATGAATTTTCACACACTAACCTTATTCTATATATATACTGTGCCTTGAGGTATTAGCTAATATAGTAAAAACCATCACAACTAGCAAACGTTTAAAACAGGTGTTTTATAATTATTCCGGTGAGGTTTAAAAATCCTATGATATTTAATTTTACAACCAAATCCCTTTTGATGTTTCTTCCTTAACAGTGAAAGACAAAAATCAATACACTTGTCCTTCCTGACATGGGAAAAAAAAATGTAGCAAGAAACTAAGATGCATTCCTTTGTCAGGAAGTATTGATGGGGTACAGGGAGAAAACATTGCTAGAGAAGTTAAGAAACAAGTATTAGAACCAATTATGCAATTTTGGGGTTTCTACTATGCTTCACCTTACAGGGTGTACAGGATTCCGAGTTAATGGTAATGACATACGTAAAGAACTACTGTTTGTGAGCCATGAAAAGAGTCATCTCTTCCATAGTACATGGCCTCTTTAATACAATATTTTATGGGAAACCAATGTGAACATAACCACTGATAGAGTGACTGATAAAAATGGGATTAAAAAAATTAGAACCACACATGAAATTCACTCACTGCAACATTAACAGGCAAGCGACTGTGGCAAAGAAGCTTAAGACAAATACTCAACGTGCTACACGATGCCATCATTTTGGCACATATAAACTAACAGATAAGCAAATATAATTAAAGGGAAATAAGTACTATGGGGAAAAAGGGTAGGAGAATCAGGGCTGGGGGTTCCCAGTGAAGTACAACTTCACTGAGTTGACATTTGAGCACAGTTTGAAGGGGGTAAGAGAGCCATGCAGACTTGGGGGTGGGAAGGACGACGAAGGATATGTTCAAGGCAGAGTGTAAGAGTGCAAAATCCTTACAACAAAAATGTGACTGGGAGGTTCAAAGAACAGCTAGGAGGCAAGTAGTCGCTAAAGCAGTTTGAGTGGGGAACTGTAAAAGATACAGTCAGAGAAGCAAGGGAGGTGGGGTAAGGAATAGATACTGTAGGGCCAAGGGCCAAGGAGGACATTATAAGGATTGTGGCTTTCGCTTTGGGTGAAATAAGGAGCCACTACAGGGCTCTGAGCAGAGGAGCTACAGGACTATCCATCTGTCAAATATATTAAAATTTAACCCCTGATTAACTTTTAAGAAAAACAACTGATTGAAAGAAGGTAGATGATAATTCGCTTGTGAACTTCAACAAAAATCCTTGCATCAGTGAATGGGATGGGAAAACATTAAGTGCGGTTAAGGATACTCTACTTCTATTTGGATGAATCTTAGTAAGGTAAAACCAAGATGGGGGTGGGGAGGAGAACAACTGTATCTACAACCACACCTTCAAATCATCGATCAGGTATCAGCCCAAAATTTTGGAGAAAATAAAATATTCAGTAGAATATTAAGTCATATTGTTCTCACTTTAAAACCTCACGGTAGGGGCGCCCGGGTGGCTCAGTTGGTTGAGCGACTGCCTTCGGCTCAGGTCATGATCCTGGAGTCCCGGGATCGAGTCCCGCAGCGGGCTCCAGTCCCACAGCGGGCTCCCTGCTCAGCAGGGAGTCTGCTTCTCCCTCTGACCCTCCTCTCTCTCATGCTCTCTGTCTCTCATTCTCTCTCTCTCAAATAAATAAAACCTTAAAAAAAAAAAATAAAACCTCATGGTAATGTTCTAGTGAGAATAAAAATGTGCATTTTTGGGTGCCTGGGTGGCTCGGTCGGTTAAGGGTCTGACTTCGGCTCAGGTCATGATCACAGCGTCCTGGGATCGAGCCCCGCATCAGGCTTCCTGCTCTGCGGGAAGCCTGCTTCTCCCTCTCCCACTCCCTCTGCTTGTGTTCCCTCTCTCGTTGTGTCTCTCCCTGTCAAATAAATAAATAAAATCTTAAAAAAAAAAAAAAAGTGTTAGTTATCATATCAGTAGTACATGCACTATAAAAAATAAAATGCTCAAAACACTTTTCCCGTTGTAGTGCCTTTATCCAAAAAATCTGAAGACCATTCTCAGAATACAGAGAAGACAGATTCAACAACAAACAAGGCTCTATGATAGAGGCCTCTTCTATGTATCCAGTATTTCAGCAAGCCTATAATCCCATCAGTAGTCCCGTGTTCACTTATGCCTCTGCACAAATGAGTCCCTCTCTCGAAAATCACCTTGGCCTGAACTCTACTGCTTATCATTCAAAGTACTTGTGATTTGTCCTCTGTGAGGTTTTCTTTCCCCTCCCCTGGGTAAAAGCAACTATGCTCTCCTTTGCAACCTACACTATGCCGTTTCTCTCTCTAATTTCAGCACCTATCAGGTGATGTTATGTCTCACTCATTCACTAGTCTGCTAGCCCTTGAAGCAAGGGGTCTGATCTTATTCACCTTTATCCCTGAAACTCAAGCACATACTATGCAGCTCAAAAACTGCTACCGAAATAAACTACCTAACCCAGTGGTATGTGCTATGGAATTTACTGTAGTTATTAATTCCTTTCCATATACCAAATCCTATGGCAGTGATACATACCATATCTTACCAAAATATTAAATCTTGGATTAGTTAAATCACAATTCTTCACATTTTTAAAACCAATTTACCAATAACTTGGGGGAATTCTACAGGGAGCCTGTATTTTCTACCACATCTATTAAAAGTTTAAAAAACAAAACAAACAAACATGTATGGAGCCATCGCACAGAGAATCTGATAACTATACAGACCCTGTCGGCAGGAACCATATGTTTTGATATGTGTGACCGCCTATGGTTGCACTGTACAACTAACAAATGCAATCAATACCAGGAACAGTCACATGGGTCTTACTGAAGTCCTAGAGAAATCTTCGTCAACTAAAAATGGGGTTACATCCTGATAAGACCATCATCAGTTGACAATATCTTAAGTCAAAAATGGATTCAATATGCCTCACCTATCTTAAATGTGCTCAGAACACTTATATCAGCCTAGTTAGGCAAAATCATGTAACACAAAGCCTATTTTATAATACAGTGTTGAATATCTCATGTAATTTATGGAATACTGTACTGAAAGTGGGAAAGAGAATGGTTGTATGGGTTCAAAATGGTTGTCAGTCTATCAGCTGTTTACCCTCATGACCATGTGGCTGGCTGGGCAGTGTGGCCGCTCCTGCCCAGCATCACAAGAGACTATCACAGCACATATGCTAGCCTGGGGAAAAAATCAAAATTTGAAATTCTAAGTATGGTTTCTACTGAATGCCTATCACTTCCGCACCATCATAAAGTCAAACAACCATAAGTCAAACCATTGTTAAGTTGGGGACCATCTGTGTACTGGATCTGTACTCTTAGGGGAAATGTAAACTATTTCATCATCAAATTATTCTAATTCCCCAGAGCCACTTTTAATGGTGTATCTGTATATGAACACTACATCTTGTCACTTATTTTCATTAACAAAGCACTACAAAGGATCAGTGGGTATCAGTTCTCAAAGGCTCAAGTTCTCCGACAATATATTTTTACAACATCTCTTAATGGCACTGGAGGCACGTCTTTAAGAAACAAGTGTCAAACAACATTCTAGATGTACCAAGGCATTTTAACTCATTCCTATTTACTGTAATTATGTTTACTCAATTACTCAATATAGATGAAGAACCAGTGCTTAATCTACCCCTGCCCCAACTAGATCTATTTCTAAAAGCAAAATTATTATAAATAAACCTATATTCTTACCATTATTGCTAATAAAATCTTCATGTAAAATAGGCAGGTCAAGGCGAATTCGTTTTAAACAGGTCTGAAAATAAAGAGTATTTTTACATTTTCATCAGTAACATTTGGGGGAAAATGAGAATTTATTCAATTCTTAGTTTCAAAAAAGTTGTTCGTCAAATAACTACTATTAACTTCTCTTCTACCATGACAGATTTCAAAATGAAAATGCCAAACAGTGACTTAGCCTCAACTAAAATCCAGCCTTGGCACTATTTAGCATTACGAATGATATTCATAATAATCTCAACACCTACCTGAACTTCCTTTTTACTTCCCAGGTATTCAACTCTGTCAATAAAATCCTCGAATTGCAGTTTAGGGAATAGCCTATGTGCCCAATGCTCCATGTGTCTGATTAGCGTTTTCAAGTCTTCAGCCTGGCACATAAAAATAAAAATGCTAAATAGAAGACTCGTTCTCTCAACTGACCTTGTCAGCAGATTTTAGAATTGAATAGTGTTGCCAAAGTCACTGGTGTCATTTTATAAGATTAAGAAACTTCTGAAGAAACTTTAAGAAGAGAACTATTTATTGAGCTTAGAGGATTATAGTCTAAAAGAGCACTGGATTTAAAAAAAAAAAAACCAGTATAAAAACTTAACGAAAGTTAAAAGATAATCATGTATCTTTTTTTAAAAGAATTTATTTATTTGCGAGAGAGAGTGTAAAAGAGAGCACAAGCAGGGGGAATGGCAGAGGGAGAGGGACAAACAGTCTCCCTGCTGATCAGGTAGCCAGATGTGATGTGGGGCTGATGCAGAGCTCGATCCCAGGACTCAGGGATCATGAACTGAGCTGAAGGCAGATGGATAATCATGTATCTTTTCAGAACTGTAAAGTAATATGTGAAAATAAGCTTTAATAAAATATGTCAAGATATCTTTTAGGAATAACTAAACAAAATGACAGGTCCCTAAATCATATATAGAGAACAAAGCATTGAGAATTCAAAACTGAAAATACATTCAGAAATCCCAAGGGCAAAGTACAAAGACTAACAACAGTTTAAACATTCTCAGCAACTCCTCTTTATATATGAAATTTCAATTTAACACTAAAATTTTTAAAAATTAAAATGAAAAACAAAGTTTAATAAACTGGACTAATGAATAACAAAATTCCAAATTCCTGGTTTTAATGTAAAATATTTTATTCTTTTCTTAACAGTATTTTAAAGATTTATTTATTTATTTTTGAGAAAGAGTGTGTGAGAGAGCTTGCACACACGAGTGGGGGAGCAGAGGGAGAAAAATCCCCAAGCACACTCCCCACTAAGTGGGGAGCCCAATGTGGGGCTCTCTTGATCTCACAACCCTGAGATCATGACCCGAGTAGAAACCAAGAGGGGGACACTTAACTGACTGAGCTACCCAGGCGCCCCTTAACAGTATTTTAAAATAGAATAGTCAAGGGGCGCCTGGGTGGCTCAGTCCGTTAAGCATCTGCCTTTGGCTCAGGTCATGATCCGGCTCTCCTGCGATCAAGTCCCACATCGGGCTCCCTGCTCAGCGGGGAGTCTGCCTCTCCCTCTGCCTCTGCTGCTCCCCCTGCTTGTGCTCTGTCAAATAAATAATAATTAAAAAAAAAAAACACAGAATAGTTGCGGGGCGCCTGGGTGGCTCAGTTGGTTGGGCGACTGCCTTCGGCCCAGGTCATGATCCTGGAGTCCCAGGATCGAGTCCCTCCCTGCTCAGCGGGGAGTCTGCTTCTCCCTCTGACCCTCCCCCTCTCATGTACTCTCTCTCTCTCTTTCTCGCTCTCTCAAATAAATAAATAAATAAATCCTTAAAAAAAATAGAATAGTCAAAAGCACAGGCTCTGGATCACACTGTATAGAATCAAAATCTCAATCCTGCTACTTAATAGTTGTATGAGTTTAAGCAAATCACTTTGCCACTGTGCTTTCTTTTTCATGTATGAGAATAATATTATACACACTTGGTAGGGTTATGAGAAATAAGTAATACAAGTAAAGTGCCTGACACAAAGTATACACTCAAATACTGGCCATCATTGTTGTTATCTGATCTTGTCTAAGAAGCCAATGGTCAACCCTACCAGTAACTAAACATGTAATACTAAGAGCTTGCTTTGGCAGCATATATATTAAAGTAATACTGAGAATATGTGTTATCCTTCTCTTTCTGATAATACAGTTTATTTGTTTGTTTTTAATTCAATCACCTAAGATTATTTTCCAGTTGTTGGGCGGAGCTGGTCAGTCACCTCACAATGTCATGTTAGACCCAGGGGTCACAAGAGAAACACCTAAATACACCTAAATACGTCCCAAGTCATACATGGAGAAAAAAGCAGTGAGGATTCAACTTTGTGACAAAACAGTAAGAATTTCCAAGGGCAAAGTACAGAAGACTAAAAAGCATAAATGCCTGGAGCCCACCCTCACCCAGTGAAGAAACACGAAATTTTTATCCTTCATATAAACTCATTTATTTTAATAAAGTACTTATTATGAAAATGATGAAGACTTCATTAAATTCAAAGCACCAATTCATCATTACAACCTGAAAATTTCAACAAGGGCAATGAATTAACTGAGATGAGTATGGTTTGGAGTTTGTTTTGTTTTTGTTTTAAGTAAGCTCTACATCCAACCTGGGGCTTGAATTCACAACCCCAGATCAAGTCCCACGCTCCACTGACTGAGCCAGGTAGGTGTCCCTCTTTTTTTTTTTTTTTTGAGATGGGTATGCTCTTAAAATATCCTGATTTACATTTAGTTTTGTGGCAAAATAGGACACAGACTTCTCTCTTCCTGTCCGCTGAAGCTGAGCAAAGGTACTACAATTTTTTGGCCTCCCAGCTTCTGAAATCTTGGATTTTTTGTATGTATGTATGTATGTATGTATATATCTATCTATTTATTTATTTAAAGTAAGCTCTACACCCAATCTGGGGCTTATATTCACGACCCCAAGATCAAGAGTCACATGCTCTACCAACTGAGCCAGCTGGGCACCCCTCCTGGGATTATTTTTTACTTTTTACCTCCTCATATCCCATTGCCTACAAGTACTGTATGTTGTTTATCTCTCTACTACTACCCTATCAGACTATCTGCACCTTGTTCACCTTCACCCTGGTAGTGCGACAGTATCTGAATTGCTGTCTGCTTCCAACCTCTTCCCTGTTTCCCATTACCCTGCATACCACACTAAGATGATGCTCACTGTTGTATTAACATTACTGTAGCTGGGCTATGAAAGAGGAAGTCTAAGCTCTCCCCTTAACTGTTGGCATTGGACACTTAAAACTCTAAAATTCCAGCGCCTGGGCGGCTCAGTCAGTTAAGCGGCTGCCTTCAGCTCAGATCATGATCCCAGAGTCCTAGAATGGAACCCCCAATCGGGCTCCTTGATCAGTGGGGAGTCTGCTTCTCCCTCTCCCTCTGCTACGCCCCTGCTTGTGCTCGTTGTCAAATAAATAAATAAAATCTTTAAAAAAACTCTTAAAATTCCAATTTCCTTAACTAGATAACGGGACCAACACCTACTCTACAGGTTTGAGAATTAAAGTATTTGAAAATACTTCATAATCTGCAAAGCTCTACAAAGATATCTGCAAAAAATTGTTATCTATACTCTACATTCAAAGATAAGAGCCTTTTAGGGGTGCCTGGGTGGCTCAGTCAGTTAAGCATCTGACTCTTAATCTCAGCCCAGGTCTCGATCTCACAGTCATGAGTTCAAGCCCCACACTGGGCTCCATGCTAGGCATGAAGCCTACTTTAAAAAAAAAAAAAGGAGGCGCCTGGGTGGCTCAGTCGTTAAGCGTCTGCCTTCGGCTCAGGTCATGATCCCAGGGTCCTGGGATCGAGCCCTGCATCGGGCTCCCTGCTTGGCAGGAGGCCTGCTTCTCCCTCTCCCACCCCTGCTGCTTGTGTTCCTTCTCTCACTGTGTCTCTCTCTGTCAAATAAATAAATAAAA